CGGTAGTGGGAGAATAGGAGGCGGTGCCTGCAGGAATCGGCTCGAAATGTGCAGATTCTTGCAAACACTGATTTATATAAAATTAGAATGTCAACTTTTTAATATTAGATTATTCTAAATGATTAATTAGATAATTTCAGATAACAAGACAATGTTATGGATCATCAAATCAATATAATATTAATTTGTAAATTAAATTTTTATAAATTAAGAAATATTGCTTTTTATATAGAAATTTTATGTATTTTTTCTTTAAATTAACTTAGAAAAATAGTTAATAAGTTAAAATTTATGTTTTAAAAATAAATAGTTAAAATTAAAAATAACTCACTTAAAATTAATGAAACTAACATTATTAACATTATTAACATTTTAACTTTATTGTTTAACTTTTAATTCTTTCAACTAATTATTATCCAACTGTGATTATAAATATACAAAACGAACATTAATGTTGCAATTTGCATATAAGAACCTCAAGTAGATAATTGTAAAACTTTAATTGATATAAAAAATGTAATATATAATGAAATATAAATGTAATGATAATATAACTGTATTACAGAAGACATCGAAGAGCTCCTTATATCTAATGTAAAAAAGAGAAGAGAATTATGGGATTACAAATTACCACTTACATTAAGATCTCGAAATGTAATTGCAAAACACTGGCAAAAAATATCTAAGGAATTAAATGGTAAAATTTAATGTTTCAGTTTAATCCTTCATATAGTTACACATGATATTTTTTAATCATAATGAATCTGTTTTTTGGAAAAGAGTATTATTAATTTTTATTATAGGAATTCTAACGCCAGAGGCTGCATCTAAAAAGTGACGATATCTCAAAGATTCCTACATGCGTATCCGTAATGATATGATAAAGAAAAAAAGTGGCTCAGCAGCAAGTAAGGTTATTAAGTGGCAGTGGTATGAATTTATGGAATTCTTACACGATATACAGGATTCACGTAGGTTAGTACATTCAAATATTATTTACGCAATTGAATACCCAATCAATACCAATTACGATAATATAACAAATGTATAATTTCATATTCGAACAATGGTAACATACGTTACAGTTACATTGTTGAGTGTGAAATTATTACTTGATATGTTACCATTATAGTTGACTTTTACTATATATTTTAAAAAAATAAATGCAGATATATATATATATATTTAAATTTATTTTTTATCTCAAAAGAAAATAAGTAATAAAATATAAGTTGTTGATATAGACACATAGTACCTTATATTTTCTTATTTCTTTATTCCTTCTTTATTAAGGTTTAAAGCAACATGTAAATAAATTAATAGTCATTATTAGTTTCGTAACTACATTTTGCTTTATATGTTTCAGTACTACTATCAATTATTTAAGTAAACAGAACGATTCTGCGTCAAGTGAAATATCTGGACCTGAAGAAGATACTGTTTTAATGAAGAAACGACGAAGATCGGATAATGACGATTTACTTAAGACTGTATCATTCATCATGAAGCAACCGGTAAAAATAGACGCATCGTCATTGCAACAAATGCGACAAGAAGCTACAGTATCTGCATGTGTACCCACACCTGTACCATTACAAGATAATATTAGTCACATAATGAAATTAATAGAAAATGTATTACGTGAATTTCCAGATAATGAAGCATTTTCTTATGGGCTACAATTATTACAATTAGTTTCAGAAAAAAAAGATCAGTTACATAAGAAACTATGAGTCTTGTTGTGTTTATTCTACGTATGTTGTAAGTGTTAAGTTATTTAACATTATAAAGACTGTTTTTTATTAGAGGAAGAGCAAAACAAAGATTTATCACAATGATTATTAGCATCCATAAGTTCAATATATCTAACAGAAACACCAGTAACTGAAGCAGAAATAGAATTAAAAGAAAATATACAAAAATTATTGCTGGATAGCATTTTTCACTATAATGGGTTGAAAGTAACAGAAGAAATCTATCTCGATTATCAAGAACCTTATAAATTACATAATTCTGAAATAATTGAAGATGATGAAGAAGCATGGAGTGAAGATAATTTAAATTCCCACCCTCAATGTTCAAATGATGACACAGACTTTGATAGTTCATATAAAAGACGAGCTGTTGAGTATTGGCGGAATTGGGACTGTAACGTCCGGTGCGCCTGCAGAGTAGCGCCCCGTACTACACAAGAGACCGCGAGCACAGAGTATAGCACAAGCTATAACATGTGCCAAACAACAATCGGGCAAAGCTATAGGCCGCGCCGCCGAACGATTCCGCCGTGCAACCCAACAAAGGAAACGCCGTAAAAATGCATCTTCCCGTAAAAACTACAATACGGTTAAAACGAGCATAAAGAAATCAATATATAACGCGAAAATCATCATCAACGCAGGAACCGCCCCTCAGGCAGGACAAGAAAAGCGTATGCTG